TAAAAAAAATATTAAATTTAAACTTATATAAGATACTTTAATTACCTTTAAATACCTTAAATAAGCTTTTACTAATATATTAGTACTTATAATATTTAACTTAAATAAACCTATTATAATTAAAACTAATACCTTAGATTACGTAATTAAAAAAGTACTTAGTTAACTAAATAATATAAAGAAGAAAAAACTTAAGCTTATTACTTATTTCTTTAAAAAACTATATAAACTAAAACTTAAATACTTTATCTATAATAAAGAATTTCTTATGATGAACCGGGTCCTATAGGCACTATAGGTTAGCTGTTTCCAAGGAATAAACCTTAGAGTGGTTCTATGGTTTATGTTGGCGGAGCAATCAGGTCGGTAAACGGGCAATCTTATCACTAGCTAGTAATATAAATAAGAGTAAATATCTAAGTTCCAATCTAATTATATTATAAACGCTATAATAACAACTGGCTATCTAAGTATTTTAATAAGTAATATAAAGTAAACTTATATACCCAGTTAGTTAGGCTAGATTATTGCCAAGTAGTGATAATCCTGTTGTAGATTATCTCAGAGTTCTAATAATCCGTTTATAGATCGTTAGATTATTAAATAATCTAATAATCTATTCTTAATTAGTTAGTCGGTCCGACGTTTATCCAAGACCGGCTACCTTATAGGCCTATTATCGCAACCATAAGAGTTAGGTCGTAATACAATATCCCCCTCCTATTAGTCTTATCCCTAAGACCTTGCTATAAGTAACGCATTCCCCACACATCCGTAGGTAGGTGCTTCCTTATCTTATTTTTCATTATTTCATTCAGCTAACTTACTTAACTATAACAGATCGTATTACTAAAAGTCTTTATCCAAAAACGCAAAAGCGGAAGAGTCTTTTTAAATCTATTCTAAAAGGTACTAAGAAAATAAATAAGCACTATTCCTTCTGTATTTCAAAGAAGTTTAATAAGTGCTTACTATCTCTAGACGATTCTTCGCAATACTTAAATTATATACAACTTAACAAATTATACTACAACGTAAAAGGTCTAACTACCAATTAATTAGATCGGGTGTCTACTTAACATTTCCGATTAAAAGATAAGCTTAAATCTACTAAGGATGCCTTAGCCGAATTAGCTATAAAGGTTTCTTAATTACGAAAATAAAAAAAGATTTAATATAAGTAAATGCATTATACTATTACACAGGGTATTACCGATTTAAATAAGTTAAATAAGGTTAAGCGCAAGAAGGCGGAGGCTGCTTATTAGGCTGTAACATTATTACCTAATTTAACTAATCCTATAATTATAGGTTCTGCAGTTAGTGTTATTAATTAAAACGCTTTTAACCCTTTTTTACTAAACCTAGACTTCAGTGGAAGTTATTTATAAAGTCTTTTAAGTATTTAAGGTCCTTAATAATTTACTATAAGTTTTTTATTTTATTATAGCCTTTTTATTTTACTAGGTATTTAGTTTATTAGGTATCTTTATTAAATTTTATTATCTTAAGTTTCTTAACCTTATATTTAAGTTCTTTACCTTAAATAACAATTTTATCCTATATAACTTTACCTATTTCTTCATCTACTAATGCTTTTTTTAGTAGTAAAATATAAAAATTTAGATATATAGTTCTTCCTTATTTCCCTAGGGTAAGTGGAAGATTTATTTTATAATTAATAAGTCTAATTTTCTTCGTAATTTTATAAAGTCTAAGTTTCTTAAAATTAAGTTTATCACTTAGTCTATTTATTTTAATATTTAGCTGTTTATTATTTTACGAATATCAGAGTAGGTAGACTATATTTCCCTCCCTAAAGGTTAATCCTCTAATCCTTTTAGTATTTATAAATTTAACTATTCTTTATCTAACGAATTTAAGTTATACTTATAATTTTTAGTATAGTTCCTTAAGTTTATTAGCTATAATAATAGCTTTACTAGTATTTTCTCCTTTAATAAGTAGCCGATGTAGATCTAGTTTAAACCTATAGTTTACGTAAAACAGTAAGTAGTTTATAGATTTTACTAATGTATTATTATAAAATACTTAAGCAGTTAGTAAGTATTCTACCTAATTATCTTAATTAAAGTTAACGTAGTATTATAAGTATATTTTAATAATTTAGTTAATTTATTCTATTTATCCATCCATCTAGGGGTAGTATACTATACTAGCCTTATATTTTAGTCCGATTTATACTATAAGTAATTACTAAAATTTTAACATAAATGTAGATCCTCTATCTAAGATAATCTTATTTAGTAGTTTATGGTTTGCGTAGATATATTAGAAAAAGACATAAGCTAAGTCTTCTATAGAGCTTTTCTCTTTTACTAAGATAAAGTAAGCCTTTTTTAAAAGTTAGTCAACTACTATAAAAATACTGTCTTAAGTATTATTAGTTATAGGTTCTTTTAAAGGTAGAAGCTTTACGATATAGTCAAACGTTATTAATTTCTAATTCCTAACTAAAACTAGTAAGGGTTGCAGTTTTCTATAAAAAAGATAGCGTAATACCTTAGCTCGTCTATATATTATATATTCTAACACAACCTTCTGTACCTATTTCTTAATATCTTTAAATTTAAAGTATTATGTAATCTGCTATATAGTTTTTTAGATTCTATAGTATCCGTTAAGCTTGTATACGTAAACTGATTTTACTACTTTGCTTCGTAAGTCTTCTAGTACCTAGATAAGTCCATCTAGTATTAGGTATCCAGTATCTATAAAAATACCTTCTAGGTATTATTTATTTTCTTAGTTCTTAATATATTTCTTTATATTATTAATAATTAAATCGTCTATTTTAATTTAGTACATAGTGTTAATTAATTAAATCATTAAGTTACTATACTAATTCTTTTTTAGTATTTATGCTTTTACTTCTAGGATTTTTTAGAAGTAGTCTAGACGTCTGCTAAGTATATTAGCGCGTCCGTTATTTAAACTACTGCAGTATCTAATTAAGAGCTTAAACTTGGAGAGTTGCTTATAATACTTAACTTATCTATAAGATAGTTTTTGCATTATTATAAAGTAGGTAATGTTCCAGTAATCCATAAGGATTATTATTAGAAATCAACTTCCTTTATAGTAGTATCTTTAATACTGCTTGCTAAGTGCTTAGTATATAGCTATAAACTTTTTATTATAGATAGGGTATCTAAATTCTAATCTATTTAGTTTCTCCGAGAAGTAGGTAATAGGCCTAAGCTTCTTTTTAAGTATATTGTTCAGTTAGCTAAGTACTCCTCTAATTACATAATCTAAGGCGTTAGTTTTAATTATGATAGGTTTGTTTAAGTTAAATATTATAAGTACTGGTGCACTTATAAGAGCTTGTTTAAGGTATTTAAAGGCAGCTAAAGCATCTTATGTTAATTTAAATTTAATATTTTTCTTTATTAAGTTCGTAAGTAGTATAGTAATTTTTAAAAAGTCTTTAATAAAGCATTAATAATAGTTAGTAAGTCCTAAAAAGCTTTATACTTATTTAACGTTTTTGGGCGGCTTTTAATTATTAATTGCCTTAGAAGAAAGTCGGAATAGTAGGGGCCTCCAATCGCCATATCCATCATGACACACGGTCGATAGACACAGTTGTGCAGTGGCTGTAACCAGTTCCAGTATATGTCAAGCAACGCCAGACAGACATTTGCGTCTATCCCGAAGCCATCAAAACCGGACTTTGATCTAATCAATGGCATCCACACCGTATCTAGCAGCTCGTATTGGCATCGTAACGCCTCGACGTGGATAGCTCTCTTGTCACTTGACTGTCCAGAGACTTGCGGGTCATCTTCATCGGCCAGGTGCTCTTCCAATGCACTCGCATGGAAACGGCTCGTGGGGCCATTGTAAGTCACTGCGCCATTATGTCCAAGCCCAACCTGGAACCAGGCTGAAGTGCCAGACGTAGGCGATGTTGCAGATCGATTTGCTCCAGTTCCAGTCGTACTGCTAGTGGTCGTGGCAGCACTTTGCGTCACGGCTTCACCTTCTTCAACCTCACGAGAACGGTCCAGATCTGGTGTCTCCGAACGCGTAGCCGCCTGGACAGCCTCTTCTAGCATCCGGATGCGTGAGTTGGCATCGCGGAGCTGCTTCTCTGCCGACGAGCGCCACACACATCGAGTTCCTGACTGTTGACAAGTACGACACGTCGGCTGCTTACCATTGCACTTGACCTTGCGAGCATGACAATTAGCACAGGCGAAACCGTACCGCCGAGGCTGTACTAGGGGTCTCCGGGATCTTGTCCGAGGCAATGGAGATGGCGATTGTTCATCGGGTTGTGAGTCGGCGGCTGCAACTTGGGCATCTGACTGCGCAGGGTCCATTGCCGATAAGATATCGAATAGCTGTTTATTGTCAGCGCAAAAAAACCAAAAAAAATTAAAAAAAATTAAAAAAAAT